TACGTCCAAAAAATGTAGTTCAGGGAATGTGTTTTAGGGCTATTTTTATTTATTGCTGTCATCACTTCCCTGAAGGAAAATCCAATTTTGCTATCTAAACTAGAAATTCAGTCTGATGGCATGATACACTCAACCTGGGAAGGTTCCTGGAAATATGCACAGCAGAAAGTAAAGGAAATATATGATGGGGAGAAGAGGTAGGATTTTCCTTTTTACTCACTCCATTGACCATCAGGAGCACAAGGCCGTTATCAGCTGGTGTTCGAACTTCTATGTCAAAGCGAGTGACCTGACCGAATTTCCCTCTCCTTGTGATATCCCTCACCACAGCGTAACTAGAGCCATCGAAGAAGTAGCTGGCAGCCCGACTTTGAGTGAAGGCCAGTTTATCTCTGAAAATGGAAATGCAAGGATCATATGAACATTTCAGCTTCTGTTATGTTTTGAGCCCATTCTCATGATATCATCCACAGAACTTAGAGCATTTAAATGAAGTCTTGCCTACATGGGAGAAACAAAAAGTATTTATAGCCAAATAAAATGAATTGTTCTTCATGAATTTTTTCGCTATCCTGTATGTTAAGACAACAGAAGAGTCCAGTGAAACCCCAGTTTCTGGAATCCTAATTCAAAGCTGCAAACACTTGTGCATGCTTATCTAAGGTGGGGAGAGCTGAAGAGTGTTTTGCAGGCATGACTGTTGTGCAGTTTCAAAACTGGTGTTCCCCAGGGAAAGACTGGGAACCTGTGTATCGACTCTCACTTGCCCTGTTTACTGCTCTTGCCTGGCTATTAAAGTCTTTAGCACTCTTAACCATCACTTACCTGGCACAGGGCACTGACTTAGAGGGGTCCATATTATAGATGTGCTTAAAGTTATATAAGCTGATCACATCATTATTCAAAGTAGCCAATTCCAGGCAGCCAATGAAGCCAGGCAGGTTTAAGCTGGCAGGAAGCTGTGCAACAGATAAAGCAAAGTCAACTGTCCCATGATCACACTTCACTCAAAGACGGCGCAGAACGGGCAATGAAACTAATAGCAGGTAAAGGGGAAATACCAAGTCATATAAATATCATCCTAGACCTAAGTCTGTCTCTATTCCATGCTAACTCATTTAGGTAAGTCAGTTGTGCATATCTTAGCAGAGAGGATTGGGATTTATTGAGCATATATTATGTGCCAGGCACATTCTAGACAGTGAACTCATGACCTAAATCAATCTTCACACCAGTTCTGTGAGGTAAGTATTCCTGTTTTTATATAACGTGAGGGAAAGTGAGTCTCAGAGAGGTGCAATAACATGTCCATAATTAGCAAGTAATAGTCCTGGAATTGAAATCCTAGATTGACTCTCCATTTGCTTGGGCTTTCCTTCCTCTCCCTGCCCCTAATTTCTGTTCATACATGACTTCTCAGGGAGCTTATGCTCTTCTGTATAGCATTTATTAGTAAGGCTGGATTAATGAAAGCAAAATGTGCTATAGGCCATTAGCCATTTCTTTTGCATTATACATGGCACCTGCCCCAAAGCTAGAAGGAAGGGAAATAGACCTAATTCCATGAGTGAGTGTTCTGAAAAGTTTGTATTTTTTGATCCCATTGAGAAACACTTTACTTGACTAAGATGGATAAGCATCCTTCTAGGGGTTTTCTCAGGATTTTTACTCTGTTTAATTTTTTTTACCCTTCCCAACTTCAGTCACCTGCATTTATAGCAAGTACATTACACAAGCCTGATTCCTAAAACAAGCTAATGATACAATAACTTTATACTACTGTGCCCAAAATGTCTACCTGTCATTATTAGAAAGGCTATCATCACCATAATCATCAACAACAAGAGAAGAAAACATTATCCAAATATATATAGAACTAAGGAATGTTCATGCTTGAAATATTTGTTACAGTTCTGGTCCCTGTATCAAAATAATAATGATAAATAAAAACAAGAAAGCTGCCTTACATTCATCCAGTTTACATCTCTATAAAACCACATGGATTTCCACCAAGGAAGCAAGGTAGAAAACACATACTCCTGGCATGACTTGCCAGGGAGAAGAACCTTGAACGCACTTGACTCCAAGTGAAGAAAATACTTACGAAGCTCTGCTGAAGGACATCTAGCCCACCATTCCTCAGATACAAATCTAACTTTGTAATAAGCTGTGTACCTGGGCTTCTGTAGAATTGCCTATATAAATTTTTGCCCTAACATCATTACTTCATCCTTTGTTGAGGATCGTCTTTAGAAATACCTGTAAAAACTCCTTTTTTTAAGATGGTGCTCACCGTGTTACATGGTGCCCTCCACTTGAGCAACTGCTGGAAACACTTAC